CATAACAGATTGACTTGAATGTCCTATGAACTTTAATTACACAGGAAGGAAGATTAGTAGATTTATTACTTTGGAACTGTATGTTTTTAATTACAGTACTTTATTGAATGCCACAACAAGAAAAATTTTGATGCTTATTAGATAAGGGGTAAGAGACTTTTTGACAAAGTTAGAATTTACTAAAACATGCTATAGAATAGGGAGTAAGTTAATTTTTGACAAAGCTAGTATTTATTAAAATATATGCTACAGAATATAGTATTGTGGTGTAATATTTGCTTTTATGTTTTTTAAAGTACTTAGAAATTTAATCAAGAATGTGATTAACTTTGTGCTTTGATTATATATAAAAATTGATGGAAGAAAGTGAACAAGACACATAAAATGGAAAGATACTCCATGCTAATGAATTAGAATAATTAACATTGTTAAAATATTCATACTATCCAATTGGAATCAGTGCATTCCTACTAAAATCCCAAAGATATTCATCAAAGAATTAGAAAAAAAATCCTAAAATTTGTGTGGAAGCACAAAATACACTAAATAACATGAGTAATTCTAAGAAAGAAAAACAAAGCTGGAAGAATCACACTTCCTGATTTTAAATTATATTTCAAAACTATAGTAGCCAAAGCAGCAGGGTATTGGCATAAAAAATGCAAACATAGACCAGTAGAACATAATAGAGACCCCAAATAAATGCAAACACACAATTTAGATTAACTAATTTTTTGGATGTTAACTAATTTTTGACAAGTACACTAAGTGGTCACAGTGGGAAAATAGTCTCTTCAATAATTGATGTTGAGAAAACCAGATTTCCACATGCAAAAGAATTAAAGCAGACCCACTATACATAAAAATAATCTCAAAATGAATAAAAGACTAAAACTTCTACAAAAGAGCTTTGGGAAAAGCTCCATGTTGGCTGTGGCAATAATAATTTGGATATCACACCAAAAACTTAGGCTGTAAAAGCAAAAATAAACCATGAAACTACATCAAACTAACATGTTCCTGAAGAGTAATGGAAACAATCATCAAAACTAGATGGAAACCTGCTATTTGGGAAAAAAAAATTGCAATTGGATATCTGATAATATCTAGTACTTATATAAGCTCATGCAACTACACAGCAGAAAAACATCTCAGATTAGAAAATGGCTAACGGACATAAATGAATATTCTTTAAAAGAAGACTTATGGATAGCCAATAGACACATGAAAAGGTGCTCATCATCATTAATCATCAGGGAAATGCTATGTAAAAAACACTAGTAGATGTCAGCTCACATGCATTAGGATGGTTATTATCAAAAAGTCAAAGAGATGTTGGTGTGAGGATGTGGAGAAAAGTGAACACTTGTATAMTATTGGGCATGTAGACTGTGCAGTCTTTATAGGAAACTGTCTGGAGGTTTCTAAATAAATTAAAAATAAGACTAGGGTTGAAACTCAGTGATACAATGCTTGTCTAACAGCTGCCAAACCTTGGGTTCAGTCTTCATTACTGCAAGATAACATACCCAAAAGAAATGAAATAATCAATTTGTACATCTATATACTCTTGCATTCAATAAAGCATTATTCATAATAACCAAACATAAGCAATCCAAGTTTCCATCTATGGAAGAATGGACAAATAAACTGGTATATATATATACATATATATATATATATATATATGTATATATATATATACACATAAACAATGAAAAATCCACTTTAGTGCTTAAAAAGGACATGGTTGAACATGAAGGGCATTGAGCTAAATGAAATAAGCCAGACAAATACCACATAATCTCACTTCCATGTAAAATCTTTAAAAACACATCAAATACATAGAGAATAAAACAATAGTTACAAGGGTGAGATGAGGAATAGGGAGATGTAGATCAGAGCATACAAAATTGCAGATATATAGCGATCTAATGTACACCATTAAGTAAAAGTAAATCAAAYTACAGTTAATAAAGTTGCATTGAATTAGGGATTTCTGTTAAATGAGTAGTTTTTACCCATTTTTCCTGTGACTAAATGGATATGTTAATTTGCTTCACTATAGATAGTAATCATTTTATTCTACATTTCATATAATACCATGTTGGTTGTGTTAAGTATACACAATATTTTTAAAAGTTGTTTGCATAGTCAAATTGATTTAGGGATTTATAAATTAAAAAATTTAATGGATTTTGTTATTTAGGACAGCTATTTCTTTAAGATATATGATATTGGGCAAGTACTAAGTAGTAAAATAATTGCCCAAGTTATCTTTATTTTCTTTTTAAAATTTGGTTCTTTTTGGTTTTATATGACAGCAGAGTCTATTTAGACATCATTATGGAATATATCTTGTTCTAATGCAGACCCAGTACCTCAGTACCTCTATTTTCAAAGACAGTTTACAGAGAGTGCTCCATATAAATTCTGTACTCATGAAAAGGTGGAATAAACATAATCAATGTCTTGTTTCATTTCAGTAATTTCTGGGATAATATTAAAGAGCCCCTCATAGTAAGACTGCAAGGATCCTAAATGCCTATACCAATGGCCCCAAGAAGATGCTTCTAAGCATTGGCAAAGACTTGAGGATTTTGCTCAGATTCTTATGATCTTTCTCCTTGGGTTGAAATATTCCAGATTGTAAATAAATTTCAATGTTAAGTCCAAAGGGGGTGTGGGATGATGCAAAGCAATGCAAAGCAATGCCCTAACCATCTAAAAAGAACTTAAATGTCATTTCTTCCAGTATGTTGCTTCTAGGGAAGAGGAACCATGCTATAATAGAGTCCCAAGGATTTTGAAAAGAACAAAAGAATAGTAATAGAAGAATGTAAGGTGGGTAGGATTTGAACCTTTAATTGGAGAGAAAAAAAGGAGAAAGAGCTTTATTTCTATGTAAGTTTTGTATTTCCTTTTTATTTTTATATTACTTAGATGTTGGATAAGGGAGTCATTAAGGACCCCTGAACTGCATGTGTAGCAATGGTGTCACTCTTGCAAGACCCAAAAGATGCTAGTACCTCATGGAGCAGATCTCTAAGAACTTCCTATTGTTTAGGGCTAGGCTGATTGTGCAATTAGATTTAAAACAGATTTATCCATTTTCTAACTCTGTTCAGCAGCATAGGTTCTTACAGAACTTTGGGACARATCTCAGGCCAGGAATAAAGTTATACCTGCATAGAGTGGCCCCCTGTTTATAAACCCCAGAAATCAAATGAGTTGGAATAGTTTGGCKGCCTTAGAGGGATTTAGAATGTGAGATATTTTCAAAAAATCCCTCTGCTCTTCCTTAGAGACTTCATCCCCACATAGATGTTGACTTATCTCTYCCTTAAAGTCTATTTTAATAGTGTTTCTTGGAGTCAGATCAAATATTAGTAGGTTTTTCCCCTTATTTTTCAGGTACCTTGATCCTGTTTACCCACAAGTTSTTACATAGGGATAACCAGTAGTGCTTCTGGGGACTTGTAAAGCTTCTGCAATGTTTCTTTTGAAAAGTGTAGTTTCTCATTTGTTACCAATGAGTTTACACTCAGGTCAGGTGGTGGTTGAAAAAGAGTGCTTTGTTTTCTAGTTGTATAATGCACATTCATTTCTTGTTTTACTCTGAGTAGAATTTAAATATATTTTATTTTGATAATTTTAATTGTATTTATGAATCCCTGTTTATCTCAGGTTCAGTGGGGAAGTTGTAAGAGCTACGTTGGTAGAAAAAGAGAAAAATGGTTAGAAGTACACCTTGCCACTTCAAATACTCCCACACTGCTTTGCCCAAAGCAGTTCAACTTTTGTTTGAAATATTGGCATTTTAAATAAGATTTTATGTAGAACTGTTTATGCTGATTAAAAAACTTGGACAGTAGTAACTTGATTTAATAGTGAGTATTCTAAAATGGTAACCTTGCCCATCCACACASAAAGTAAGATGAAGAAAATCACAAGCTCTTCCAAACTTGGTAGAGGGAACACCTTCYTATTCATTCTAGGAGGCTAGTATTACCCTGCTATCAAAACCAAAGAATCACAAGAAAATTACAAAGAAAAGAAAATTCATATCTGTTATGAATATAGAACACAAAAAATCTTTAAGAAAATGATACTAATCTAGCATTATGTGAAAAGAATTATATACTATGATCACCATGAGGAATGCAAGGTTGGTTCAACATACAAAAAGCAATATTTTATGCCATGATAGCAAAATATAGAATCAAAATCACCTTATAATTTCAATATACTGAAACCTCAATATACYTAGAAAAGGCATTTTAAAAAACTGATATGTTTTCATAATAAAACACTCAATAAACTAGTAWTTGGAGATAACTTCCTCATCCTAATAAAGGATGTCTATGAAAAACCCTTAACCACCACCATATTTATTGGTGTAATGCTGACAACTTTCTTTCCCTTAAAATTAGGAAAAAGACAGATATCTGCTTTAACTATTTCTATTGAACATCAAACTGTAGGTTCCAGTCAGCACAAGTAGGCAATTAAATAAAATAAAAAGCACTTCCACTGTCAAGAAATAAAACTACATAATATTATCAGATGACATCATATTGTATCATACAGAAAATCMTAAGGAATACACATGTGCACAAGCACATCCCCTGACACAAACTGGAAACAAATAAGTTCAACAAAGTATCAAAACGCATAGAMTTACCTATTTGTATATAGTAGTTAAGAAAAATCCAAAATTAAGCAAAATAATTTACACAAGCAAAACAYTGACTAAAATATAAGGAATAAGTTGAACAAAAGAAGTTCAAATCTTTTCTCTAAGAACTACAAATATCATTGAAAGAAAGAGAAATGAAAAGCCATTCCATGCTCATAGATTTGAAGAYGGCACACTCTTGTCAGTATACTAGAATCCATTGAATTTTATACTTTGAAAAGGTGCAGTTATGTGAATTATATATACATATRTGTGTATATATATATTTAAAAAAATGGAGGAAAAATTAATCATTACTCACCTTCATTTTTAACTGGTGTTGATGAAGCAACAGTTGCTGGCACCGGAGATGTATTTAATGATTCATTGTTGTTTGCTCCTAGTTTGATAAGGTAGATGACATTATTATTAATCACAATCTCATTTCACCTGTCAAGCCATAAGTAAAAGTAAATCAAATTTGGAGGTAAACTGGAATAGGGTAAGCCTTTGTCTACCTTTAATTTTTCCATTTTCCATCTCCTTTTGTCCAAAGAGGATTGTTAAGTATTGAATGCTTGAGAGGTCTGATTTTATACACACACACACACACACACACACACACACRCACACGCACACGCACGCACACCTTGCATGACAGATCCAAACAGCAAATTTCCTTGACAGGTTTTTTCTTTGGTATCACTAAATATGTAAAAATATATTGCAAGAACTATAAAATCTAGTAATTTAAAATCATTTTATTTTTCTCTGTGGGGAAAAAAATGACTTGGCCAACAGAATCTGGGAATATTATGATTTGTTTTTCAGAATTACATTCCATTTTGTTAATTTAGTTATGTTAATGAAAATTCCAAATGAGCATAGGTATAAAATAACTTGCAAGCTCCTGTAATTAATTTGTTCATGATGTTCTTTGAATACCTGTTCTGTGCTAGGCCCCCTCCTAGACTCTTGGGGGTATGGTATTCAACTCTTAGTATCTTTTTTTTATACCTTTATTTTATTTATTTATTTTTACGTGGTGCTGAGGATCAAACCCAGTGCCTCACATGAGCTCTACTGAGCCACAACCCCAGCCCCCTCTTACTATCTTTTTAATCTAAATAATATCTAAATTATTCCTAGCATTTAGTAATGTTATTTCAAATAAAGGGGTACACTGAGGACATGAGTGTCGGCAAATATGCAGACTTGCCTTAAGCAGTTAACTCCTCAGTGTGGTACACACTGTAGTAACAGTCTCTTCTTCCTTAATGCCCTTTTGTAGTTAGAGCACTGGTTCCGTATGCACCATATCAGCTACAATCCTGGTTCTTATATTTTTATCAATGCCATATTTGGAGGAAGAACGGAAGTACTGCACAGTTAATCTAATGCTTTGAAATCCTAGTCCAGCAGGGAGTTTCAAAGGTAAATTGACTAGAGGATACCAAGGAAGATACAAATTGTGGAGGATTGCCGTGGACAAACTTTGAGGCAGGTCGGGGAGGCTTGGTCCACTGTTCACTCCTCTGTTCTAGTGGTTATTAGGGAGTACAGATTATTTGAGCAATGGAAATCACAGGCAGATTTGTGAATTATATTGGAAAGTGGAGAGCACCTAAGTATTTAGGACCTTCTAAAAATCTTGGAATCTTATGTGGTTGTAGTTTAAGAAAAGAAGCCAACAAAGGAAACCTTATTCCTAAAAGCTATGTTTGAGATTTTGCATGGCCCATTCATGTGATGTCAGCATCTTCAAAATAAGGTGTAACTATGTAAATAAAGTGTCCTCACTAGCCACACCTGGATTTTGTTTTCATTTCATCCCTACTCTTGGGTTTTCTGGTACCAACAGCAGGAAGAATCAAATTTTAAAAATTACCTTTCTATTGTCTTTTACTAATACAGTAGGTCACACATAATGATAATAATGAATATAAATAAACTGTGTCAACAGGGATCCTGTGATTATGTTGCTGATCATTATATATAATCAGTATAACAATATTTATAGTATAAACACAAGTTACTTTTCCAGCTTTATTGAGGTACAGTTAAGAAATAAAAATCATACATATTTAAAATGTATAATGTGATGTTTTATATGTATACATGCTCTGTAAAATTATTACCACAATAAAGCTAACTAACATATCGATCACTTCATAAACTTAGCTTTTTGTGTGTGTGTTTGGTGAGAACAGTGAAACTTAGTTATTGCTAATTTATGAATATAAGTGAACATTTTACATATATGTTATAGTGAAATTCTCCCTATGTGCTACATCTGCTAAAATTCTGATGTATAAATGCAGATTATGATTGTAAGTAAAATGTTACAGTAACTTAATTGTTATGGTTTAGATCAGGTATCCCCCTAAAGCTCATTGTGTAAGACAATGCAAGAAATTCAGAGACAAAATGATTGAGTTGTAAGAGGTTTAACCTAATCAGTGCGTGTTATTTCTTGGTAAGGATTAATTTTGCAGTAACCATAGGCGGATAGGGTGTGACTGAAGGACATAGGTCCCTGGGGTTTATACGCCTTAGGGTCTATATTTTTGTCCTGGCTGAGCAGAATTCTCTTTCTACTTCCTGTTACCATGCTCCTAGCTGCTTTCCTCTGCCAAACACTTCCACCATGATGTTCTGCCTCACTTCAGGCCCCAGGAATGGAGTCAGCCWTCTGTGGACTGAGACCTCTGAAACCATGAGCCCTTAAATCAACTTTTCCTCCTCTAAAATTGTTCCTGTAGGGTCTTTTGGTCCCAGCCACAAAAAAGCTGCCTAAAACACTAAAGATAACTGATTTCTTTTAACTTTATGTTCAAAGTAATGATTAAAGTACTTTCAGGAAGTTAATCAGAGAAATAGACTGAAGTTAATATAAATATTGAGCAAGTACTGTAACCATATATTTTTAGGGACATTATGTTATTTTAAGTCAATGGTGTTTAGATTAAGTCATTAGAATCTCATAAATCTACTTGTAAACTTGTTTTGTAAACTAACATTTATAGCATTTCCCAAAATAACCTTTGAGAACTGGGTTAAATTCAGCTCAGGTCACAAGTACTTCAATAAAATATCGAATTTGTAAACATTTATATTTTGTGAAGATAAACTTACAGTAAAATGTCAACTTTACCACTTTAAAATTCCGTGAAGAGGAGAAAGCAGAGAATCATGTATAAAAATATCTCAAGTAGTTCATTTTCAAATAAAACTAACAATAGAAAGAATGGATAAAAGGAGAAAGAATATGGGGGGAAAATGAGGTCCCCAAACCCATTGTAATCCCAACTATTTTTAAAAAATACTTTTTAAAAACAAACCCATTGTAATCCCAACTATTCATACAAGAAAAATGCTTTTTAAGTCTGTTCCTTAGTGTTTGATGTATTTCTTTTCTACACAGAGGAAATACCACTTAAACATCACCACACCCAACACTTTATATAAAATAGATGGCTCCAAATTACTTCTCTAGTGACCTTAAATTTGAGTGCCCATTTAGAATAAGAAATGTCTAGCATCAGTGCTGAGAAATTTTTATTCCTGCAATATCATTCAACTTGTTAAAAATATTTGAATACTAAAAGTTTTTAAATCAATCTAACAGTCACAGTTTAGGCACAAAATTTCAAACCTGTTTTTGTACACTAGGAATTCACGTTATGGTGGTGATATGCAGTGTCTGCCAAATTCTGTTTTTTAACTCTGGCCATTTGGTCTTTGCATAAAATATGCATTGTACTCCATATACATCTAGGAAGAAGTCAAGTCCCAGCTCTTTAATTGGATCGTCTCTGAAAGCAAAACCTGCTTCCGGCAAAGCTCTATCAATCAGTTATGACACTGTGACTATTTGGCTATAAGAAAAATTCTCCTCTAAGTTTCACTTTTTTAAAAAACTTTTCTGATGTTAGATTTTTTTGTCATTGACCAGAGAAAGAATATTTATGTGCTGTAGATAAACATAAGTACTATTAGTACTTTTAATTTTAAACAAAGAAAATCTGATTGAGAAGCTTAAAAAATGAAAATAAAACAGCTTTGGCATGTTTTTTATATATATATATTTCTATTTATATACATAAGTATATATATGGCATATATATCATATATAAATATATATAATATATACTTATATATATTTTTTCTTCCTTTTTTTTGGGAAAGAATTTGTTGTAGCTAAGAGTACCATGTTGGCCATGAGGAAGGAGAATAAGGAAATGCTTTACCATAGGTACAACTTTGGGGTATTATTATGTGTTTTTAAAATGGTTATTTTGAAAGATAGGAAAATGTATAAAACTCCTTGAAATTTAACCCCTTTATCAACCTGAAATTGGAAGCCAAATATACTGACACACTGCTTAGAACATGAAGATTTAAGGAAAATTCTTCATTACTGTGTATTAATTGCACAACGTTTAAGAGCATGGGCTACATCCACTATATATAGTTCAGCTCACCGCTACCCTCAACTCACAGACAGTGATCAAGCAGTCCAGAGCCAAACGGTTCCTTTCTGGCTTTCTTCTCCAGTGTTGGTCCCCTGTCCTCTTCTAAGCACCACGTTTCCCCTGTCCTCTTCTAAGCACCACGTTTCCCCTCTCCCCATGCTGTCTGATGGCTCCACTCAGCCCTACCACCATGCCAGACTTTGTTTCTCCTACTGGGTCCCACCAGTTGTGGGCCCTAGCTGCCCTCTCCTGCTTCCTTTCCCTTCCTCCTCTCTCTCTCAGCTGGTCTCACTAGTGATCCCAGGATGGAGCTACTTTCCTCCCTTCAGCTCTTTTTCACTGGTGCAGAAAAATTCATGTTACCAGATTATAACCATTAAAACTTCTCTAATTGGGTATTAGGTGATCTAAAGTCTAATTGTTAATTTGGGGGATTGATAAAGGCATTGTCACTTGGAATCAAATTGTTCATTTTTTTTTTTTTTGAGATTTAGGGTGTTAAAGGAACTATGGCAAGAAGTCTGGATTCCCTTCAAATACTTTAGTAATCAAATTAAATAATGGAAAGAAAAGAAAGAAGGAAGAAAGGAGAAAGAAAAATAAAACTGAAGCAAATGTGGTAAAACCTACAAAGATTGTTAGAGTCTGTAAACAAGTCAAGATGGCGCCTGGCATTTTGCAGAGGGAGTGGTTTGTGAAGTAACGCCAGCGAGCCATTAAGTGTGGAGATTCCTTATTGGTTGACTGCTGTATCTAGTTTATGTTAATTAGATAAGCTGTGTGGAATGTATAAATACCTTTGTTGTCCTACAATAAAGGGCTCCCACTCCTACTGTATCAATCTACACAAGTTGTTTGTCACTCCCCGGTTATTTTGCTGCAGCCGGACTGCGGCAAAAGATATTAATTTGAGATGTTTAGTATATTTAAACATTTTTAAATAAAAATTAATAAAAGTAAAATTTTTCTGATCTATTAAGATTTTGCAATTGAATGTAAATAATTTAAAGTTCATCTGAAGAACCTTTGAAGATTACAAACTGAAGTGTAATTTCTGTCAACTGGGTAGTAAAAATCATAGAATGTATCAAAAAAATAAAGGAATTATGAGTGAGTGAATATGTGTGTGTGTGTGTGTGTGTGTGTGTGTGTGTGTGTGTTGTGCAGATAAGCTCAAGTGCTCTTATCAATTGCTTCATAGAAGACTGTTTCAGTGTCCAGTACAGAAACCACCAATGGGAAAGTTACCAGAAGCATGTTCTCACTTATGCCCTGACATGAAAAGATATGAGATAACACTTCCAAGTCGGCAAGTCAAGATGCATTCCTGCTACTTTGCTGAATTCATTTATTAGTTCTAGAAGTTTTCTGGTGTAATTTTTTGGATCCTCTAAGAATAGAATCATGTTGTCAGCAATTAGTGATAGTTTTGAGTTCTGGTATCACGAATTACCATTCTGCCTGAACTGCTTCATTGAACTACCATCTCTGCCCTTGCATGGTCTTTTTAACATAATATTCAAGGTTTGTGTTATTATTTGGATGTTAATATTCACTACCTAGCCTCACAGTCAGGGCTAGGAATCCACCAATCCAGAAAGCACAAGTTCCAAGTATAAAAATTGTGGAACTTCAAATTTTGGAATCTGCATGCAACAACAGTATTCACCTTCTTTGAACTATTACTTATGGGGATATTATTAGTGGCAAAATAATATATTTTTAACAAATTAGGGCCAATTTTATGCCATGGACTCAGCTGGCAACTCCCAGAAGAAGACAAGCAAACAGTTATATTTTGTAAAAGTGCTAGAATGCCTGCACTTGAAAACCGGGAACAAAGGACTAGATAATTTTTATAATTTGGCGTGAACATACTTTATATACAGAGATATGAAAAACTGTGCTGTATATGTGTAATAAGGATTGTAATGCCTTCCACTGTTGTTGTGTATTTAAAAAATAAATCAAAAAATCAAATTAAAAAACGCAGTGTGCAGGAGTTGGCTAGGGGCCTGCAGGGCATGGCTTTGTAATTGTGTCATTTGGAGTTCCCCTAGGTTGGAAATAGATGTTGTATGATTTTCTGGTAACAAAAAACCCCATGCCACCCCTATTGTGCAATAGTTTCTCCTGCCTTGTAGAGAAGTTCTAGGAGGTTTGGTTTTCATCTTAGAATCAAACATTGCAGAAATAGTGGACTTTGATCATGACATCCTTTACAWCTGAGAATCACCACCCTATTCAGCTCAGTGAACTAGCCTTCATTGGCCTGCATAGATTTGAGTTTGGCCTTAGAATAAAAAAAATAAGGGGTAATAAAGAGGTGAGGAAAACAGAGGCAGGAATTTCATTTATTCAGGGCATTTGATATTTTTAGTCTTTCTGTGACCTTACTATTCTCACAGGAGTTTTTGCCTCTAAGCAATCAACTAACAATTCTACTTTTTTTTTTTCCGTTCATTTATTACTGAACCTGAATAGACCTCATTTTTTTTTTTTTTTTTGTTCATGGCAGGGTGGACAATACAGTATTCATTTGGTTTGACAATGCCTTGGGTTATTTATTGAATGCGTCTAATTGCTTTACAAATTTTTATGGATGATATTGTAATCTCCTTTAATCTAGCCAAAAATTTGGGATAGTTGTTGTCACTAAGTACAGTAAAAATAATTATGACATTGCTACTGAGACCTACAAATTAAATCTATTATCAGCACGGTACAAGCCACCAAATTGATCTGTTATTAATATAATTCCACCTTATTGGCTATGCTGCRTAAGTGGAGAACTGAAATATTAGAAAAATATTTTTATGGCTTAGATAAATTTTTTCTTTTCTAAAAGCAAAATTTTATTTGTAACATTCACAAAAAGACCATTCTCAAACAGGAATGATCTAAAAGAATGTCAGCACAGAAGTCCACTGTGATCTTAGGATTCATTAAGAAAGCCAAAATAACACAATAACTTCAAAATAGTGAAACAGCATAGATATTTGTAACAATCAGATATTAGATCCTAAATTTTTTTTGGTTAAATTATAAATATTCTAATATTAACTAAATTCCACTAAGAGTTAATCTTACCTTTAGGAGTTGTTTTTAATATATCAGTAGTTGTTGATAACGTTGAGTTTCTTGTTACTACAGTGGTGATTGGTACAGAAGTTGTTGTTGATGATGTATTAGTAGATGTACCTGAAACAATTAGAAAAAAGTAAATTATGCTAAAGTAGTTGCATTAACATTTACATTTATTTTGCCAGTCAACAGACTAGTATATTTAAATTAAGTATAGTAAACAGTGTCTACTCTGATAACCAGTTAGTAGGACATGGATTTGGAACTAATGTTCTGGTTGTGAAGAGGTTAGTATTTGCTCTTCAACTGTACCTGATTTACATCAATGGTGTRACTTTTTAGGATGATAGGCAGGGTCAGTACGTAGTTCTGATCTTACATAATATCTGAGAATAATGAAGAATAGAAGTGCAAATTTGAAATTTAACAMTATCTTTAAGCTAACTAAACTAATCTTGCCAGATAAAATAATACAATGGGCACTCTCTGGGCAGGGGATGTTTTAACTAAATGTTTTGATATTGACATTTTACTACTTAATAACTTTAATGTACTATTGATATATTCTCTTGATATATAATCTCTCTTCTCCTCTCTTTCTCCATATATATATATGTATATATTTATGCACACACACATGCATACACATATATATAATCTATAACACTTATTTATGTACATATGTATGTATGTATATAGAAATGTTTATTTATACAGAGTATAAATGTAAAAGTATATAAGGAGGGAGATAAGTTCCAAAGAAAGGCAATCAACTTATTAATCTAAAGAAATTTAATAATTATAACATCTAAATTTGAGGGATGGAGCCTTCATAAATGTGCGTTTTCAAATTGTTTATTTCTCTAAATTTCAAACGTGTGCGGCCAGAGGCATGGAAAGAAGGCAATAAATTGTAATCCATGTGATGTATTTCTTTTTAATAACAATTCTTAAACTATACAAAGAAACTGATTTTCTGTAACAGCTGGAGTTGGCAATATCACAACTTCATAATTATTGTCTCAAATTGAAATATGTAGAATGAAACTCTCAGTGTTCTGTCAAAAGACTTGCTTCATATAAAATTGTTGTAGTTATCATTTATATTGATTGCTTAATCCTGGACATTATTGGTCTTATCTCTGGACAGTCACTATTATGTTACAGATTAAAATGCACAGATGTCTTGAGATTTGAAAAAATCTATGGAAGGCATTGCTTTCCATGTAATATCCTGGTCTGTATACATATGTGTGTTATAAAAGTATAGAATAGCATAGAATGTTAGTTGAATAATAAAGGTTTATGTTCCTATTCCCATCAAACTACTTCAGTTCGTAACAGTGAATATATGTCATTAGTATCAGTTCTCAAATTTAAATTAGAGTTAAAACTTTCCTCTTTGAATCTGAGAAAAATCAATATGTGGAATGTCAATGAAAGGTAGTGTCTCAGATGTCATGAGATAAGGTGTGTTTTCTGTTTCATTTCATAGCCTGAAGGTRCTTGGAAGTGTTAGCTCTTAGCACTGACTTTGTTTATAGACACAGTAAACAGAAATTGCTAGATATATTTGGCACATGGAGAGGTGTTCAGCATGTACAGAGATGATAGAGCTGCATTTTCACAGGTTTTATGAAGGTGAAGTTAAAAGCTCATTTTTTGTCTAATGGAAGGAAGTACACTTCACACCCTGGTTCTTGCCCTCCATACTGGCTGGTGTTCGGCAGGGAGCTGCCACACAGCCCATACACCCTTATCTGTTCTTTACTAGCCATTTTGTTCTAGATCTTTCCTTTAGTCCTAAATTCCATGTTGTAACACTGCTTTCTAACTATTTACTAAAGTTGATAAAATTATTCTAAGAAGCGTACCGCTTAGACTGGAAAATTTACTATAATGGCTTAAATGATACCCATCTTTTGACTTCCAAAGAGTAAAAATCTTTTTTTTAAATTTTTTTATCTGTTATTTTTAGTTATACATGACAGTAGAATGTATTTGGGCAGATTATACATAGAGAATATAATTTAATCTATTTAAAATCCCACTCTTGTGGTTGTACATGATGTGGAGTTACACTGATCGTGTATTCAAAAAAGAAAAAAAAAAGAAATTGCCCCAGTGAATTAAAACAATACATTGTAATTTTAACATATGCTATATTTTATATTCTGTATTTTTATGTTCTGTATGCACAAGGGACATTAAAACATTACTATATTTTTATGGGCTCAAAAAAAACCAAAACAAATACAAGGCTAGGAAAGTTATGATGGATTAATTTTATTGTCTTTACTATTCCCCTCTCCACTCCTTTCTCTTTAGTCCCCTTTGTCTCATCCAATGGATTTCTATTATTCCCTTCCCCAACCTTTCTTGTTTTGGGTTAGCATCCACAAATCAGAGAGAACATTAGGCCTTTGGTTTTTTGGGGATTGGCTTATTTCACTTAGCATGATATTCTCCAGTTCCATTCATTTACCAGCAAATGCCATAATTTTGTTCTTCTTTATGGCTAAGTAATATCCCATTGTATATTTCTACCACATTTTATTTATCCATGTATCCTTTGAAGGACACCTGGGTTGTTTCCATAGATTGGCTATTGTGAGTTGAGCTGCTATGAACACTAATGTTCCTGTATCACTTTGATATGCTGTTTTAAAGTCCTTTGTGTATAAATCAAGAAGTGGGAAAACTGGATCAAATGGTGGTTCCATTCCAAGTTTCCTAAGGAATCTCCTTACTGCATTCCAGAGTGGTTGCACCAATTTGCAGTCCCACCAACAATGTATGAGAGTACCTTTTCCCCCACATCCTCATCCAACATCTATTGTTACTTGTATTCTTTATAATTGCCATTCTAACTGGAATGAGATGGATTCTCAGTGTAGTTTTAATTTGCATGTCTCTAATTACTAGAGATGTTGAACATTTTTTTCATATATTTTTGACTATTTATATTTCTTCTTTTGTGAAATGATTGTTCAGTTCCTTTGCCCATAAATTGATTTGGATATTTATTTTTCTAAAGTTCTTTGTATATCCTGGAAATTAATGACTTGTCTGAGGTAYTGATGGTGAAGACTTTCTCCCATTCTATAGGCTCTCTGTACATGTTATTGTTTCCTTTGCTGTGAATATTTTCAGTTTGATATCATCCCACTTATTGATTATTGATTTTACTTCTTGTGCTTTGGGAGTCTTGTTGAGGGATTCGGTTCCTAAGCTAATATGTTGAAAAGTTGGGCCTACTTTTTTTCCAGTAAGGGTAGGGTGTATGTTCTAATGCCTAGGTCCTTGATCCACTTAAGAGTTGAGTTTTGTCCAGGGGTTCAATATAGGGGTTCAATTTCATTTGATTACGTATGGATTTCTAGTTTTCCCAGCAACATTTGTTGAAGAACCTATCTTTCTTCCAATGTATGTTTATGGTTTCTTTGTCTATGATGAGATAACTGAATTTGTGTGGGTGTGTCTCTGTCTTCTATTCTGTTCCCATGGTCTTTCTGTTTTGGTACCAGTACCATTGCTGTTTTTGTTTTTTGCTATAGCTCTATAGTATAATTTAAGTTATGGTATTGTGATGCTTTCTGCATCACTTTTCTTGCTGAGTATTGCTTTGGCTATTCTGGGTCTCTTATTTTTCCAAGTGAACTTCATGATTGCTTTTTCTATTTCTGTGAAGAACATCATTGGAATCTTTATGGGAATCACAGTAAATCTGTATAGAACGTTTGGAAGTATGGCCATTTGGATAATATTGATTCTGCCTATTCAAGAGTAACAATCTCAGTTCCTGAAAATAGTATCTTCAAAGATGGATCCTTCCTTTCTTTCTTGTTTGCTTCCTTCCGTCTTCCTTCCTACCCTCTCTTCTTTCTTTCCTTTTCTCTCTTCCACAATACATGTTGGACCAAGACTTATATGAGAATCGTGATTAGACACAGTAAAAGACTCTAAGATGTACCACTTAGTATCAGCCTGAGTAGCTTTCATCTAGTGGGGGAACATAATGACCATGCAAAACAAATAAGGTAGGGCATCCTGTATGGTTGTATAGATTAATGTTTTTTAAGCTGCAGGTGAATGATATAGTTAAGGGCAATTAAATCTCTTTAAGGGAATGCAGTCAGAAATGTTGCCAAATGACAAAGTAAAGAGAGATGAAATTTTAAAAAAAGCTCAATTTTCAAGAAGGGTCCCAAGTGGTTATTGAGCCTAAACTTAGAAGAGAGCCTGATAGTCTAGTCACTGAGGGGTGTGTGTGTGTGTGTGTGTGTGTGTGTGTGTGTGTGTGGTGTATCACATCTACTCTCTGTTCTAAGAAGAATCACAAACTAAACGTTGAGTCCCTTGCCTGACCATGTTCCTGTTTTAACTGCCAAGGTAAACAGTGACCAGAAAGTCTCATTCCACTACCCTGACCTGACCAATGAACTCTTATTCTCAACCAATCAACCAAGACTGAGCACTTCCCAGAAATTYACCTCCTTCATTTACATAGGAGTACCAAGAATGGAAGCCCTGGTTGGGAAATTTCTTTATATAAGAAAGCCACCCCTTCGTTCCTTCAGATGACCTTTTTATTTTGTACCAAAGGATAGGTCTCCCTGTTTTGTGAGCTGTTTTTTTTTTTAATTTTTGAAATGAAGCCTCTTTTTTTCCCCTTGAATTCTTTCCTAGTGTATTTTTGCCAACAGATACAGTTTTTAGAGTGGTATTTTGAACAACCAAGGTATCACTTCATGAGTTTTTTTTTTTTTTTTTTTTTTTTTTTTTTCTAGGGTGTGCATGTGTGTAACTCTGCATGAAATGTGTGCCAATGCAAAGTGTACTTTTTACTGGGTCTCCAGTTAAAAATTTGGAAGCTGTTGGACAAACAATAAATTGGGCTAAAAGTTTATAAGATAAAGGATGACTACCCTCATGAGAGAGTTAACATGGGAGCCAGATCCCAATAAACTAGTCATATGTTCACCCAAACAGAGAAAAGGGCATGAGCAGAACTCTGGAGTGGGGAAGCAAGAGGTATTTGAGATGAATGAAAAGAGTTCTGTTTGACTGTTTGGTGTTGAGCTATGGATGGACATGGTGATGGATGTTGTCTAAGA